CACGGGCAACAGCCTGCTCAGAAGCCTTCAGGGGCTCTTTCTTCCACGGAACAGCAACCACTTTCCACAGCTCCATGCCAAGCTTCACTTCCCCAGCCCCTCCCCTACCAGGCCAGACCCTCGACACTTGCTCCAAATCCTCGAGCACATGAAGCTCCACCCCAGCACAGGACCCGTGCACTCTGGCCCCTCTCCGTAGAATGTTCTTCCCCCCTCATCATACGCCTGCCTTCGTGCAGATCTCACCAGAAAAGTATCCTATTCCAAAGGATCTTTGCTGACCACCCACGCTAATGCAGCACCCAGCCTCTCTCCCTCAGCACCGTTTTATTCCCCACAGACGCTAAGACCTTCTCGTGGATTCGGGAGTGCTGAGGGAGTGTGTCTGCCTATCGCCTCCTCACCCAAGAATGGCAGCTCCTCGAGGGCCTGGCTCCGTTTCTCCCCGGTGCCTGCAACCACAGCAGATGCTCAAGAGAAACTGGCTGAACGAATTAGCTACGACCTTCACAAGGACCCTGCGAGGTAGGCCTAACCTCCCCTTTACAGCTGACGAGACAGGTCACACAGTGAGTGAGGGCACAGCCAGAAACCAGCCTGAGGACCAACTCGCAGGCGGCACCTGCCTCCTCCTGTCATCCAGGGCCGGGGCCCCTGCAGGGCTGCCCTCCAGCCGCGGACACCGAGGGGCCATCTCCTCACCTCGTTGCCTCCAGAGCGTACAGCTCCGTACTTTCGGTTATGCCCTCGTCTCCCCAACCACCACTCAAAAAACCTCTCCTCCCGTCCTCCATCCATTGAAGAAGGCTCTCGATCCTAAGGCCCAGGCTGGATGCTCACTCAGGAGGACGGGAACGTGACTGTGTGCCTGGCCACGCTCCTCGAAGGAAGGGTAACGGCTTTTGTTCTACGCCGTGAAAGCTCTTCCGCACTGGAGCCGAGCGCCACACACAGTATGCCCTCAGAGGCCCCCTGCCGTGCGGCAGGCACTCAGCCGTCCTCAGGGAACTGCATGTTTTGCATACTGCCAGATCGTACTACCGTTCACCAGCCACACGTGATAAACATGAGTGTCATTATCTCAGGCCTCAAAGCAGGCAGTCTTTGTGTGAGTAAATATTGAGCCAGTGCTAAGAGTAGAATGAGCTGTTAAGTTCTGTTTGCTACTTTCATCCCCAGGCTCATAACAGAGCGTAAGCTAAACAAAGAAAAACAAGCAGTCCGCCGGACGGAATGATATTCAGCAGGTAGAATCATTTCTGTGGGCGCTTCCCACATCAGTGATTTGCTCCTCCAACATTGGCAAATATTTGCCACCACCGTCTTCTATGTAATGTGAAGACAGTATATTCTGCTGTCTTTGGAAACTATCTTAACTGCCTTATAAAAACGGGCAATTTACTGGCTATCTTTTCTCTTGCCAATAAATACAAATCCAGTAATTGTTTAACTTTGAAAGCTCTGGCTTTAGCTTTTTGGTTTTAGATTTGATATTTAAATAGAATTCTAAAGAAAGAAAAAAAAAAAACCATAATCCCATCAACCCAAGAGTCTGATTTTTACATGCTAACCTTTCAAGCTTTCCATACACACTCCCATTTTCCCACAAGTCTTGAAAGCTTTACTATTAAGTATGATTTTAAATTCTGAAAGTTGTTTCAGTGACAAAGTCCACAGACTCCAGCTGGGTGCTCAGGGCCTGACCGCGACAGGATCCTGCCAGGCAGCCTTCTATGCCCCAGCCTTCTCCTTGCCACCTGCCCACTGCGGGAAACCACGGGACACAGCCAGGAAAACAGATCTATAAACCACCCTGACTTGTCAACGACAACAAAAGTGACCATTTTGTCAATATTATACTAATAAATATCAAGGAAATGTATAAATAGGTCAATACAAATGAATATAGTAACAACAATAAAAATAACTAACATGTTTAAGTGTTTATAATGTGCTAGGCATTCTCACAAGCATTTTGTATGTTCTATTTCATTTAACCCGCAAAATTAGTGCTGCTCTCACCTTGCCTATCACACAAAGAACACACGCACAGGCTCGTTACCGAGCTCACTCACAGTCACAGAGCAAGTGATCGCTGGAGCCAGCTCTCCACAAGGACAGCCCGACTCTAGAACCTGTCTCATGGGCACAGTGAGACTTTGCATCCCTACACTACCTTGGAGGTATCCGGATCCAGCAGGAAGGTGTACTGGCATGCTAGAAAAGGAAGTGGCTAAGATGTGTACTTAAACCACCAGACAATACTCCTTTAAGCTGAGCCACCTTTACTTCCTACCCTGGTGGATGAGACTTTCACCCACCCAGTTCTCAAGTCAAAACCACCCTCCTCTCTGCCCTGCCTCCCCACCTATATCCGGGGATGCCCTATGAAGTTATCATCGCAGGATGAGGTTCAGATGCTGGAAGTAAAGTTCCCAAGTTGTTTGTAAGAACAGAAAATTAGGAACAACCTACATGCCCATCAGCAGGGGGCTGGTGAAGGCAATTGTGGGGCATCCGCAGAACGGCACACTGCAGAGCGCTGGGAGACTACACGCTCTTGTGGAAAAATATATGGTTCAACTCAAAAGGGTAAGGTACAGAACAGCTACCACTCCTGCGCAGAAAGAAAATACACTATATAAATGCACAGACTCCAAAGTACCTCTCTACAAATTACTTCTTCATTACAAAGGAAAAAGGTGACGTATCAGCGGAAAGAACAAGCAGATACCACCTTAACCAAGTGATCAGAGTCAACATTTCCAATATTAGGACAAACCAACATCATGTGTCTCCCGCTACAGTGGCCAAGAATACAAATCTCTCAAGTGATTTCCTGCCAGAAGTTATTAACCCAAATCTCGTTATGAGGAAACATCAGAAAAATGCAAACCAAGGGACATTCTATGAAATGACTTGCTTGTGCTCTTCAAAAATGTCAAGATAAAGAAAAAAACAAAACAGAGAAAGGTTGAGTCACTGTTCCAGGTTAATGGACATGACAGACGCATGACAACTGACTAGGACGCATGGTCCCCTACTGGATCTGGACTAGGAAAAAATACATAGAAAGAACATCGTTAGAACAATTGGCAAGATATGAATATGGGCTGTGGATTATAACAGTATCGGGTACTAAAATAGTATGTATCAATGTTAAATTTCTGATTTTGACAACTGTACCGTGATAATATTGAGAGAATGTGTTTGCTTTCAGGAAATACACAGGGAAGCTTTTAGGAGCAAAGAGATGTGATACATCCGACTGACTCTCAAACGGTTCAGGAAAGAATATATACACAAACACACACAGACACACACACACACACACACACACACGGAACGGTAATGGGGCAAGTGTAAACAACTGGTGAATCTGGGCAAAGAGCACGTGAGAGTTGCTTGTGCTATTCCTGCAACTTTTCTGTAAGTCTGAAATTACACCAAAATAAAAAGTTGAAAGCAGTATGTGCATAGGCCACCTCTGGAAGCAGAAACTTGGCATAGTGAAAAGGGTGGGAGCACGAGGCAGGGACAGGGAAAAGGTCTGTTTGCCCTGTACACCCCCTTGTGCTCTGTAATATAGTAACAGGCAAGTGTCACCAATTCAAAAAACAAACAAAATGGTGAAGAAGAAACAACCCACCCTGAGAACTATACTCAGAACTACAGCTGTGTCCTGCTGGCTGGGAGAGCATCCCAGAGCCACCCTCCCCCGCCGGGGGCACACTGCTTCACCCATGCCCTCTGAATCCCTCCTTCCCCGAGAAACCCTCTCCCTCCTCCCAGGCCTCTGCACAAAGGCCGGGCTCCCGCAGGGCTCCCTGCGGCCCATCCACGTGCCTCACTCGCCACCTCCTGGCCGAGCTGGGCGTTGCACTCCGGCTCTGCAGCCCTCAGAGCACCACCTGGCACGGATGGCCATAACTGTCTGCTACACTTTGTCCCCCCAACTATGCGTGTTCTCGTGCCCAAGGCTACATCCTGATCCTCCTGAGAGCTCCAGCACTTAGCAAACACCTAGCACAGAGTGGCACTCAACTCAGATGAGAAACATAAACGGAAGAACATGGATTCGAGTGGGAATTCCATTCGAGGACTTGAAAGCAAGTGCATTCCTCAGAGCCTGCCCACGGCACATCCACACAGGCACGGCGTGTGCCTGGAAGCAGCCCGCCTGGGAAGAATCGCGCTGGCCTTCTGGCAGTGCCCAAGCCTGTCACCCTCTGCTGGCCCCAGCCCCATGGCCGGGAAGTGCAACATCAGCAGGTCCAGAGGGCAGTCACCAGCCCTGCAACCCTGTGAGCCACTGTCTCCAGCACACTACGAAGAACTAGGACGTCCATGTGGCTGGCCTCAAAGTGCCCCCGAAGGCAGCAATAAAAAAGAGTGCAATTGGGGCATTAAGAAAAAAGGACAGGCCGGGCGTGGTGGCTCACGCCTGTAATCCTAGCACTCTGGGAGGCCGAGGCGGGTGGACCGTTTGAGCTCAGGAGTTCGAGACCAGCCTGAGCAAGAGCGAGACCCCGTCTCTACTAAAAATAGAAAGAAATTAATGGGACAACTAAAAATATATAGAAAAAAAATTAGCCGGGCATGGTGGCGCATGCCTGTAGTCCCAGCTACTCGGGAGGCTGAGGCAGGAGGATTGCTTGAGCCCAGGAGTTTGAGGTTGCTGTGAGCTAGGCTGACGCCACAGCACTCACTCTAGCCAGGGCAACAGAGTGAGACTCTGTCTCAAAAAAAAAAAAAGAAAATACATCATCAAACTACACTGGAAATACGTTAACAAAACATGTCTAAAGGAAACTATCAGCAAAAATTGCTATTGTCTTAGTGAGTTACTGGTATGAAAATACAAATCCGTCAGCTTCTTACAAGGTAAATTACACACGGAGACATGTGCATTATACAACTAAAGCGTCCTTCAAGACAGGCTCTATTTCAGAAACACCACAAAACAAGTGCTTGTGTCCTCCAAGCTGCAGGGAACTTACCGAGGTCTGTGTTGGGGCCAGCAAGCAGCTGCTGGAACTTGTCGAGCCGGGAGGCCTCTCTCTTACTCAGCGCTGAGCTGCTGAGGGTGCTCGGGTCGGACATCCCACCCAGTGCCACGGTGGCCGAATGTGGGAGAGACTGGGACCTCTGCAGAGGGACAGCATCACTGGCACTTTCTGCAGGGGTGAGAGAACAGGGGTGAGGGTGAGGGTGTGCCTCCTGACCACATGTCCTTCCCGCACCAGGATGGCCTCACAGCTGCCATGCCACTGTCCCTTTGTGAATGTTGTCGGATCACAACTATCCCCTCCTCCCATCACAGAGCAGTGGGACCTTGGTTTCTTGAGCAATAAAATGGAACTGACGCCTCTGAAATTCACCTGTCTGACTGGCAGAGTTATACTTATCAATAAAATAGACACACAATAAAATAGACACACCCCCATCAAAGCAAGACGATGAAAGGCTTGGAAAACTCCAGACAACCTCAGGGTGTGTCAGTGGTCAGGCTCCCACTGGTGCCTGGGACTGCAGATCGGGGCCTGCCCAGGTACCATGACCCAGAGGATCTGTCCCGCGGTCCTTTGGGGTTACCCAGGCCTTCGCTCGGAGGGCAAGTCACTGCAAGGGCAAGGTGAAGCCTGCAGAGGCACTGAGGACGGGAGGCAAAGGCGAGGACACACCAGGAACCAGAATGCTGAGAGAGCACCCACCTGCTGCCTCCAGGGCACGTCTGAACCCACCACCGGCCGGACCCTCCCTTGATCTCACCACAGTCCTGGGAAGGGGGTCAGGCAGGGACTGACATCCCGAGGAAACAAAGGAAGCCCGGCATGTGAGGGACGGCACCTGCCCCGACCCCACGGCAGGCAGTGACCGAGGGGCCATCAGAGTGCAAGCTTGCCCACCCCTTGCCCAGCACCCCTTCTGCTGCTGCACACAAAGGCCCCGCCGACCTCTGAGACCTACATCACACCCAGCACCCAAGGCTGGGGACAGGCAAAGTAAAATCCAAAGGCCCTCAGGTCACTCAACACAGAGCCACCCAGGACCAACAAGGAAGGGGCTCTGAAAGGCTTGGAACTACCTGGTCTAAATCCCTTTCAGTGTCTCATCTTTCGAAAACTGAAAATTAAAGTAGAGTGAAAAATAAACTCCAGGAAACGGCAAGAACGAATGCTGCAGAGTCAACACGCTGATGTCCCCTGCTGGAGCTGCGGCTGAGCTGGGCTGAGAGCATCACTCCCCCACCTCCCCCATTCCACAGACGGGCCCCATTTCCTTCCCAGTCTGGGGAGAGGGGGTGGATTCACACAGAAACCCTCAGGCTACACAGGAGCAAGGCAGCCTGAACCTGTGGCCTCTGGGCAGAATCTGGCCCAGTTAAATTTCCAGAAAAGTCTGCTAAAGCTGGGGCACAGGCTTCAGGACACTGCCCCCATCTCCCTGCCCCTGACGACCTGTGCTCTCCCCCACGGAGCAGCATCCAGAGAATCCTCCCCACCCACCTCAACTCAGGGAAGGCTTGAGAGGCAACACCTGAACACGGGGAGCACCTTGGGTGGTGATGCTCAGAGCTCCTCCTTCCCTCCTTCAGAGTGTATCATTTCAGCTGCACTTGGGATTCTATAGAAAAAACAGTCCCGGTGTGGTAACTTGCACCTGTAATCCCAGCACTCCGGGAGGCCCAGGTAGGAGGGTCACTTGAGCCCAGGAGTTCGAGACCAGCCTGGGCAACTTATAGCAAGACCTCATCTCTACAAAAAATTTAAAAATTAGCCAGGTGTGGTGGCATGTGCCTGTAGTCCCAGATCCCTGGGAGGCTGAGGCAGGAGAATCGCTTGAGCCCAGGAATTCAAGATTACAGTGAGCTGTGATGACACCACTGTATTCCAGTCTGTGTGACAGAGTGACACTCTCAATTAAAAAAAGAAAAAAAAAATATTCAGCAGAAAGAACAGCTACACACTGTGTCTCAGAATTAAAGGTACTCAACTTTTATCCATGATCTTAAGAGATGATCTATGTAACTTCATCAAGACACCTAAGGGCCTGCCCACTCTGGCCACCATTCTAACATGGGACAGGTGGAATTCTGAACGTAAAGTGACAGAGACTCAAGTCCCCTGAGGAAACAGTAAGATTAATCACCAGGTCTCTGTGTTACCATGAACAGGAAGCACATCAACATCCTACCCCCAGTGACATAACTGCCACCAGCTGGTGTCCACACAAGACTCTGCTTGCAGCTCCGTCACAGTCGGCTACAGGGACAGCCCTCGTCCAGCCCACTGCCCACTGAGCGGGCCTTCCAGAGCCCTTCCAGCTGAAGACATGCTTTTGCTATTAGCCCAAGTGTCACTAAATAAGCAAAGTACCTCTGACCTCAGGTATAAGGTCAGATTTTTGAGGCATTTCAAGGAAGTCAGGATAGCCAAAAGGTGAAAACAGGGATAGGGAAGGCTGGGCACAAGCACCTGACTGCACTACCACTGAATCGCCAGCACGGCCAGCTATCCTGGGCTGAAGGCCAAGGCTGACCACAGCGGGCAGGCTGCAGGCACTCTCAGGATGACATCTAGCTCCCCAAGGCCACACACCGCGAAGGGAGAGGCGTAAGTGTGAAAAGGAACATAAACACGGGGGCACACGCATGCAGCAGGGCTGCACTGCGCCCCATGAGACAGCACATCCTACGGTGCTTAGAACTACAAATCGCTGCTCGTATGAGCAGCAAAGGAAAATGGAACTCACAGCCCAGTCGCCTGAGCAGCTAGGCCCTCACCCTGAGCTGGCAGGCAGGAGGGTGCTGCAGGGGTGGGGCACAGGAAAAGCCACATAGCATGTGGCCCTGAGCAAAACTGCATTCACTTCAACAGCATTTATGCAACTGCGTAGGACACCAAGGAGAAACAAAGACAAATGGGACATGGCCTGTCTCCAAGGAATTTGCGAAACATGCAAAGGAAGCGTGCAGACACAGTCCCTGCCCCTCGGGAGGCAGATCAGATGACCGACCCAGGAAGCCCCACAACGTCTCCCCTCCTTAACAAGACGAAATGGAAACTCCGTCCCCTGGATGCTTCTGGATCCTGTCCATTCACGTGCTTGTGCCTCCCCACCAGACTGCTGGTGAGCCTCCCTGCGCCGCAACCTCAGGTCCCCAAGAACAAGAACGGAGATGTGCCCATCTTCATGCCACTGCCGAGCAAACGGTCTGACAACTAACAGGCAGCCGCGGCCCAGGGCACTGAAACATCCCCACCTCTCCTCCGTACCGCACGCGCCTGCCACCCAGTCGCCAGCCCGCTCAGTGCACTGAGGAAGGAGTGCAGTGGACTCCGGACCAGGGCTTCTCAGCCCTGGGCCATGGACATTTGGGGCTGGATCAGTCTCAGTTGGGGGTGCGGGCTGTCCTGGGCACTGCGGGATGTCACCCACTACCTGCCAGTGACACAATGCCCTGCCCCAGCTGCAACAACCAAAACTGCCCCAAGACACTGCCCCACGTCCCCTGGGGGAAGGATCACCCCACTGAGAGCCCCTGCTCTGCCAGTAAAGCCTGTGGCTAGCAGTGGGAACTCTGGAGTCAGATGCCCAGGTTTGAGCCCTAGCCTACAGGTCAGTGTGCAACTCTGGGCAAGCTGCTGACCCCTCCGTACCTCATCTGTGAAATAGGAATGCAGCAAGTCTTATGCCCCAGTGTTGCTGTGAAGTTTAATGAACTTACTATCACAAGGGCTTGCTGTGGAACTTGTCACACAGTAAATGATCAATAAATGCTATCATTATCATCATATGGAAGGGCTCACAAAGGCATGTCTAGAAAGCAAACACAAGAAAGATGGCCAACTCCAAGGCAGGCACAGGCCACAAGGCCAGGGGCCCCCATCTCGAGCCACAAGCTGCTTGGAGCAGCCTTCAATTTGCTCTGACAGGTAAGTCCCACAGCTACCCCACCTTGGCTGGATGCAGCCTGAGCTTGCCTCCTGGTCAGGGACCCGCAACCACACACCACGTGGTCCTCACCAAACAAGCCCCCTGCATCTGGGGCTGCTGAGGACCACAGCCAGCACCGCCCACGAGCAGGTGAACTCAGGGATCCTGCCACCACCGAGCCTGCCGTAAGCAGGGACACACTGCCCAGGACTGGGCCTGCGGGAGGTTGGTGTGCATTTTAATCAGTCACCAGACTGTCAAGCCTCTTGCAAAAGCCATAACTAGACTTCCATTTTTAAGTTCAAAAACTTTAAAATTTATTAGATTCCAAAATGAAAATTGATCAAATGAAATAATTCATAGCATTCTCACCTAATGAGAACTGTAACATTTTAGAAGTTAATCAATTCCTGGAAAGTGTTTTTAAAAAAAACTAGACCTAGGGGGGCAGAGCAAGATAGTGAATAGAAACCTCCGGCAATCGTCCCTTCCTACAAACACCAAATTCAACTGTCCACAAGGAAGCTACTGTAAGGGTCCTCTCATCTGTAAACACGGGGAAGCACCCTAGCCCCTGGGAGGCCTCGGAGAGAGGTAGTGACGAGGCCGTGGCTGCACCAGCTGGCCTCCTCCAGACGCGTCTCCCCTCCAAACGGAATGCAGGACACCTGGCTTTCGTGGCTGGCTGTGAGAGGGCCATGGAGGCGCACAAGGGCTGGGAAGGCCCTGTCTCCTCCTAAGCACCACAGCTCTTAGTGCAGCTGGCGGCTTCAGGGGTGACATTTCTAGCTGAGGAGGGCTGGACCCCTGCAGGCAGCTTCCGGTGATTCCTGCCAGGGATGTGTACCACGTGGGCTCATGTGGGTCTGTCGGGGGTGGGAGTCTGACTTTGGAATTGCCACGTTCATATTATAACCCCCTCAAGGGAGGGATTATGTCTGTGTTTCATATCCATTGCACAGGTGCTCAGCAGCTGCTCCTCAGACTGTTTTTGTGATGTTCGCTCTTTGTGCATCAGAGGCACATTCTGTCTGTGATGGAAGCCACACAGTCTTTTCATGAGTATGTGCCGTGGGCCAGGCACTGTTTACAGGATTGGGACAACCCCATGGACAAACCGGATGTAAGTCTTTGTCCTGTGGAAAGTCTTTCTGGTAAAGGGGACGGATGCTAAACTACACACAACCAGTAAGGGGGCACGAAGTGCGCTAGAAGGTAGCAAGTGCCAGGGGTCAAAGTAGAAGTGGGGAGTGGGGTTGGAACCTGGGTGGTCATGAGAGCAGGGTGGGCAGGGGGCGTAGTCTGGTCAGGGCATCCTCGCCTGCAGCACCATCGGTGAGTCAGGGCAGTGAGGCTGACCCTTCCCGGCCCTGCCAGAAACACACGTCATCTCTTCAGTCCTCCCCAGCCTACCTGCAGGACGGGACGTGTGGCTCTCGCTGACAGACTTCACCAGCCGCAGGTCAGCTGGGGCTGAAGGTGGCTCTGCCTCAGGCTTCAGCCTCTGCTCTGGCCCTGGGGCCTCCTGCAGCGCGGGCCGCCCCCGCCGCTGGCTGTGGTCACGCAACACCCGGTGGGCCGTCTCCATGACCACCTCGGTGTTGAGGCTCTCCGCCGCCATGGCCAGGAGCTCATCATCATCCTCCCCGGCGTCCCAGGCGTCACTGGTATTGCTCTCAAACTCCTGGAAGGTGCTGACCCTCTTGGCCCTCACCGGTGTGGTCGGCATCTTGGGCGCGGCCTTGAGCAAGCTGCAACGCAAAGGAGTCTTTACTTGCGCACACTTGGAGGCTTCGGTCTTTACCCCGAAACCGCCCAGAAAACAATCCCAGACACGAAGACACACTTGAAAGTTTTCAACCTCAATCTAGCTGATAGTGAAGTGAAAAAGCAAAGGCAGTTTATAGAGACAGCCAACACGAGAGCAGGCAAAGCTCGTGAGGACCAGTTACAGAAAAGGAGTCTCCAGGGAGAGTCACGCTAAGCAGCCTCCGCCACCTGACAGGACCAATTTACAAGGAGGCACTGTCCTGCACGGTGACAGTGCACCGACCTACGCCCCCAAGTCACTCGGCCAGAGCCTTCAAGCACATCCTCGTGTTCCCGGCCTCTCAGCAAAGCTCCTACAGCAGCAGCTGAGGGGTGGAGGCAGGAGAGACTGGGCAGAGAACACAGACCTTTGCTGTATGGATTTGTAGACAGTATAATTTACATGAGAGTCCCCCAAAATATGACAACATGCAATATCGGCCCCACCTCACATCAGGAAACCTGTCAGACAGGTACGGTCCTGCAGGGCCACACCAGCACAAGGCCAGGTCCCACACCTGCCACTCCCTCCTGCCCAGGTGGAGGGGCCCGGACACAAGGCAGAGCAAGCCTCAACGGCCAGGTGGAGAGTGCGCGAGAGAGAGAGGGAAACAGGGAGCTGCCACAAACAGCCCCAGAGCCAAGCTGCCCCTGGCTAAGGGGTGCCAGCTTCTGGCTCTCCTGGGTGGCTCCCCTGCTTCCCCTGTATGGGGCTATGGCCCCCATGTCCGCCGCCCCCACCGGAGGATGAGCTATACAGGGCGAGCAGTGTCTCGCACAAAGCAACTGTGTGATCAGTGTTTGCTGAATGAGAAACCACTTCCTCCCTTGGGAATGCCAGGGAGCTGGCGTGAAGCAGGAAGAGAGCGGTCGCCACTACCCTCCTCAGATCAGCGCTGAGAAGCCAAGAGAGGTGAGGACTTCACTTACGCGCCATGTAACAGCGGATCAAAGGGCGGGTGCTGGGCTCCATACACGTGCTGGATGCTAGCGAGAAAGAACAGGAGAACAAATGAGCTTTTCTTCAGCTTCCCAAGAGCCCTCACCAGTTCAGCCAAACGCCAGGCCGGCAACCCACACAACTCTGGAAGCGGCTCTCGGTCCGTGCTGCAGATCCCCTCCGGCCACTGCAGGCTCCTGAGGGCCCCGTCGAGGGGGGATAAATGGCACCACACAAGCCCACGGCCCACACACAAGCAGGGCATTCAGCCCCTGGCTGAGAACAGGCCTCAGAGCGGGGGGCCCAGCCCCACAAGCACCCAGACCCCCCAGCACCCACCCCAGTGACGAGGGCTTCTGGGAGCACAGTGAAGTGACTGTAACCTCTGCTCATGGACCACATTTCACAGACCGACTGAAATCTGATGATGAAACGCCCATCTAGGAATTCTTACCTGGTATCATTTTGTCTATCGATCAAATGCAGAATTACAAAAGAAGATTAATGTAATTTTTTTCAATTTAATGGTTTTATTATAAAAGTCTTGTTTATCCTAGTAAATTTGGAAAACAGATGGAAACAGAATACCCCATGTGGCAGACACCATGGCCAGCTGAGCAACCTCTACCCAGAACCCCTTTCTCTTTGGGTGGTTTCAGCCAGGGGCGGGGGGAGCCACGTGGCACAGCACAGGGCAGAGAGAAATAAATAGAGATTTTACTTTCCTAATAAAAGAAGGCAGGCTTAGCTAGCACCCCTTTGGCCTTAGCTTCTCCCTCTTCTTCTGGGCTGGAACACAGAGGTGACACCTGAGTACCTTGGCCATCTTGCGTGAGAGATAAAGCCAGCCATACAGGGTGTAGGGCAGAAAGAAGGGAAAGAGCATGGGTCTGGGACGGCTCTGCTGAGCTGCCGCCCAACCCTGGACAGCTCCCCGGTACGTGAACTAAACAAATCCCTGCTTGTTGAAGCCACTACTGTCAGACATCCTAACTGCCTAACTGACCCAGTGCGCACGGGAAAGATAACTAACCACCGTTGACAATTTGAGTTGGTACCTTAGTGGGAGTGGGGAGGGGAGGGTCTGTCTGTATGTAAAGATAAACACAGATAGAGGTGTTTAGATACAAACAAACATAAATGTTTTCATGTTTATACAAAGAATGAAGCCAGGCATGGTGGCTCACGCCTGTATTCCTAGCACTTTGGGAGGCTGAGGTAGGAGGATCACTTGAGGCCAGGAGTTTAAGACCAGCCTGAGCATCATAGCAAGACCTCCTTTCTACAAAAAATAGAAAAACTAGCTGAGCACGGCAGTGTGCGCCTGTAATCCCAACTACTCAGAGGCTGAGGTAGGAGGATCACTCAAGCCCAGAAACTGGAGGCTGCAATGAGCTATGATTGGGCCACTGCACTGCAGCCTGGGCAACAAAGCGAGACCCTGTCTCTAAAAAAACACATAAAAAAATAAAGAAAAAGAATGAAATTCTACCTTCTTTACTTAGTAACAGGTCATTACTATTTCCCCATATCATTACTTGGTTGCTCTTCACTTTAAACAATGTTTACTTTATATGTATTATTTGATACATAAAAAGAATATGAGCAGCATATGTAAATTTAAAAGCATAATAATGAGTGTACACATCTCCCTATACATTTCTCTGTAACTCCTTGTAAATCTATAATTATTTCAAAATATTTTAAGAACCATAAGAATGGAATGAGCACCAGTTAACTCATCACTGGCCTGCGCCATCTCCCTGGACAACATCACTTCTAATGTCACACTGTCCCATCATATAGCCACAACACGATTTGTTTAACCAATGTTGATTTTGAGACATTTAGCTTATTTGAAATTGTCTGTGATTATAAAAAAATAATAAACATCTTTGGAGACAAATATTTTCACACAACTATGATAACCTCTTGAGGATAAATTCCTAGAAATGAAAGGTTTGGCCTATAAAGCATGCCTTTTAAAAGGCTGTTGGTACGTACTGCCAGAGTAGCAGTTCATATTCCCACCAACAATGTCTGAGAGATCACAAATCGTCGCTAATTTCACAGAGGAAAAGGGGTCTCAATGTTGGCGATGTGCCTTCTTGCTCATTAGTGAAGCTGAACAGTATTTTTTAAATTTTGCTCATTTGTATCTCTTCTTTGTGCAAATTGCTCCTACCCTTTGTCCATTTTCTAATACGGTGTTCACCCTTTTCTTATCAATTTGTAAAAACTGTTTTGTAAACAGAAGAGTCCTTCTCAGTCACTCAGGCTGTATGTTCAACAGAGTAACAGCCCCACCAAAGCTGTCCACGTCCTAATGCCCAGAACCTGTGACTATGTCACCCTACATGGCAAAAGGGGCTTTTGCAAATGTGATTAAATATACAAATCCTGAGATGGGGAGAACATCCTGAGTTATCCACGTGGGCCCAATCTAATCACACGTACTCAAAAGTAGAGAACTTTCCCTGCTATGATCAGAGGGAGATGTGATCATTACAGAAGGTCAGGGAGCTGCAACACTGCAGACTTTGAAGTTCGAGAAAGGGACCACGAGCCGAGGAACGTGGGCGGCCTCTAGAAGCTGGACAGGGCGAGGTAGCGGTTCTCCCACGGAGCCTCCAGAAGACACCAGCCCTGCTGACACCTAGATTTTAGCCCATGAGACTTCTGAACTCCAGAACTCTAAGATAATTTGTTATAAGCCAGTAAGTTTGCAGTAATTTTTTAGAGTGGCAATAGAAAACGAATACAGGTGGCACATCTGTTTTGCTGGTTATGGGAGGCTAAATCATTCTTTTATCCTTTATGCATGGTTCTACTTTGGGGGCTATGCCTGGAAAGATCCACCTCTTCTGAGCCTGCATCAATATTCAACTGCGGGCTAGTTTCATGCTTCTAAGGTTTCGTTTTTTTACCTTAAGTTTTTAATCCACTTAGAATTTATTTTATTTTATTACACAGTATTTAGGAGGAAACTTTTTTTAAAAAATAAACAATTGTTCCAATGCCATTTATTAAATAATCTCTGCTTTTCCCCACTGGTTTGAGAATATCATCTTTACTATACATTAAAATATTACATTGGGTCATTTTTCAATTTTCGATTCATTTTCTATTCAGTCTTCCATTCCTATGCCTGAAGCACAGTATTTTAATGACATCAAATGTTTACTTTTATACCCAAAAATTTTCCAGCAAAATTTAACAAACATTTGTGTGATACCAACTCTGTGACAGGGTACTGGGCAGGCAAAGATAAGCACAATACAGTCCAAGCTATTCAGGTCCTTACAGTTTACTTATAAAAGCAAAAAATAAACTGGCACTGACAATGTTCTATGATAATTCCTACAACAGCGTGCCATGGGAGTAGAGAAATACATTCTTAGAAGGAAGATTCCTTGAGAAAAAATCACTTACACTCAGACCTAAGAAAAGTGGAGCAGGCAAAAAGTTCCAGGCAAACAGAACAGCACGCACCAGATCTGAGGGCAAAGGAGAGGGTGGGCAGTTGGGAAAACAAAAGTGGCGGCAAGGGGCCTGTCACTGCAGGGAGCAGAAACATGCAGGCCTTCCCTGGGTGTCCTGGAGCCCAGGCCAGCCCCTCACTCCGCAAGGGAAGACTGGAGACCCAGAGAAGACATGGAAATGCAAAAGGGTTTAGCGCCGTGAAGGCTTTGTTGATTTCTCCTTCCCAAGAGAATTATATGATTTCAGAAGAAAATCCTAAAGTAAATATCCAAACTGAAACATCGCATTTATTTCTGCATACATCAGGGTTAGTAAGACATGACCCCCCAAACTGAAAAAGAAACCCGAAAGCAAAGCTTTGATCCCTCCACTCAACCAGCAAGTACTTCCTATGTGGCAGGTACCGTACTGGGTGCAGAGGACACCACAGGACATGGACCACAGGAGGTCCCAGTGGGGGTTGGGGTTGGATGCTTTTACCAAAGGAATGAAACAGAGAAAAGTGAAGGGACAACCTGTGGCCACCACACTGTGTGCCCATGCTCAGCTGCAACCACTCTCAACAGCCTCCACATTTGCCCCACATTCCTGTCTCTTTCTCAACATGGAATACTGCGAACGACGAAACACAGAGACTAACAGTAGCAGCTAACAGAGATTTAGCATTATTCTAAACTCTTGAGGTGTTAACTCCTTTAATCTTCACAACCCAATGGGGCATATATGATTATTCTTTCCATTTTAAAGATGGGGAAACTGAGGGTAGAAAGCTTATATAGCCTGCCCAAGGTTACAAATACCTAGCAGGTTGCAAAGCCAGCTTAATGACATACATAACATAAGGCATAACCACACAAACATCACACAGAGATTTAGTTCTATGAAATCCTAGTGTTTTGTCATATAATAGAGTTGAAATCCTCCCTAATTCTACTTCTCTACCTACCTACTCAGAGATAACCTACTAACCTGCATTTAACTTTTTCTTAAGAGAGAGGGTCTTGATGTCGCTCAGGCTAGAGTACAGGCATGATCATAGCTCATTGCAGCCTTGAATTCCTGGGCTCAAGCGATCCTCCTGCCTCAGCCTCCCAAGTAGCTAATATTTTTTTTGTAGAGACAGGGTCTCACTATCTTACCCAGGCTGGTCTCGAACTCCTCGCCTCAAGCGATCCTCCTCCCGCCTCCCAGAGTGCTGGGATTACAAGCATAAACTGACATTTTTTTTTTTTTTTCAGACAGAGTCTCACTCTTTTGCCCTGGCTAGAGTGCCGTGGCATCAGCCTAGCTCACAGCAACCTCAAACGCCTGGGCTCAAGCGATCCTTCTGCCTTAGCCTCCCGAGTAGCTGGGACTACAGGCATGCGTCACCATGCCCGGCTAATTTTTTCTATATATTTTTAGTTGTCCGATTAATTTCTTTCTAATTTTAGTAGAGACGGGGTCTCACTCTTGCTCAGGCTGGTCTCGAACTCCTGAGCTCAAACAATCCACCCGCCTCGGCCTCCCAGAGGGCTAGGATTACAGGCGTGAGCCACCGCACCCGGCCTAAGCTGACATTTTT